TCTTGATGTCCCTGAGGATGTCATTCGTCCTAATATACCATGGAACTTTGAAAAGTCTTCTCAGAGCCTGGCTTTGTGCAATTTCTAGCTGGCGAATAGTAGTGTTTTAAGCTTTGCTAAACGCTACACAATCATATAGAAGTGACGGACGAATTATTTGGTTATATATCAGTTTCCTGTTCTTAGCATTGAGATTTTCATTTCTGATTAGCGGTTGGAGGTGTAAAGAATTTTGGCACAGCTAATTCTTTTCAGTTGAACATGTTTAAACCATGTGAATCGTTTGTCCAACATGATGCTGAGATATTTAACGCTATCCTCCCAGTTTATCTTGTTATGAGATTATTTTAAATATGTATAAAAATATAATCTAGTTAGCTAACAATAGTTTAAAGCCTATTACTTTTAATCTTAATTCTACAATTAGAACAATTTGATAAGCAGCTGGATATCATGTCTGTTGAAAATATAGACATTGAAAACTAAAAAACAAATTTATGAATAGTACATTGAAAGGTAATCATAAAGTACTTGTAAAAAAAATGTATGTATTACAATAATACAATATTACATGTTGTGAGCCACCCTATACTAACAATTAAATGAATTAATCAACCCAAGAAGTTTTATAGACCAGTTAAAATTTTAAATTATTACTAATCCTAATCTTGACTTATAGTCTTATGATGGTGCACAATAGCTCAAGCTGGTCGCAGTTTAAAAAAGCCTTAACCTATTCCATAAACTATTACCATTACCATGGTCATTAGATGGAGAGTCAAGTAGAGAAATTTAAAAAGCGACTATTTATCTCCAATAATCAAAAACATTTACAAAATTATAAAATCATATCTGCGATATAACAATAAATATAATGGGGTTTAGAATAAACTGCTCATTTCTGAAGTAGTATAATTAAAATGAACGGAAACTTCAGAGATCGTCAGTGAAATTAAACTTTTTGCGTGAGCTTCGATTTTATGGAAATTGACATTAGACGATACATAATAGCCTCTAGGGGAATGATACTGAAAAACGAACAATGTAAATTAATCGTTTTATTGAAATTATATATAAATGTTCTAGTTTCCTTTTATAAAACTGTATATCATATTCAGTTCAATAAAAACTATTTAAAGTATTAACTTTATTTTCTGTCTATAACAAAATATAAGAAGATAAAGTGTGGGGATTTTTCACCTCACTTATTTCAATATCTTTTATTCTCATGTTTAATAAGTAGTAATAGATCAAAAGTTATCAAATTAAGAAATCAGTGATTAGTTATTCTGCTGCAAATCTGTTTAGATTGGAGAACCTGCCGGGATTTTGATTGTTCAACCAAAAAAACATGATTGAATTATTTTCGAATAGAAAAATTTTAAATAAAATAAATTTTTTATATTTTTAATATTTTTACAGCCTGACAAGCATATTCATACGTCAGTAAATAGTATTGAGGGATTCTTTATTACAAGCCTGTGAGCTGTTTTGTTACTGTTGAATTATTCCAGATCAGGTATCCGGACTTTGTTCCTAGTAACCAATGCAATTATATTTTTTGTAACTTTATTATGACTTGGATATATGGTAGAAGTCTAAGATTGAGAAAACGTAAAATAAACTTATTTATCGAAATTTATTTACCTATATCATAGTATACTCTGTTTCCAAGTTTTGACAATATTCAATAATGGGATATTAAATTTTCAGAGTGTTTACTAAAATTATCTAAAATAATAATAATTCGGAACCATTTTAGAAAAATTTTCAAAATTGCGGTCATATTTCATCGTATTAAGAAGTGTAGTTGCTTTATAATTCTATTGAATTTAATATTTCTCAATTTATTGGATTTAATACCGCCCAAAATAATTATTCACGTACATCCTCGTCTATAATTGCCGGTTGGCAAGACCGAATTAATGGATGGCAACATTTAAACACAATTAACAGCTTTTTCCTCCGATACGTATACTTAACATTTGTCTGTGTGAACTTTGTTAAGGAGTGGCCATAATATTTACCAAAAGGCAAACACTGTTAATATTCTAATTTGTAAAATAAAAACAAAAATTAAACACTCGAATGACTTAAAATCATTAAAATTTTAAATACTCCACAAATGTAAATTAAGTTCTCTTAATAAACAAATGAGTCGAATAAGCTGCCGAGACCCCTCCCAATTTTCTGGTAGGCGTTCTAAATAGCAACTAATTATTTCCTTATTAACTTCTGACATGCAGGTAATAGCGGGTGTACGTGTATAGGAAAATGTGTATAGTATTTACTGTTAACAACTTTGTAGCATGCTTTTCGCTTATTATGCCTTGTTTTCGAACTCGGAACTAAACTCAGATAGTCGTTACGAGCGTTTTCGTGAACATTAACGAAATATGTTTTAAATTAATTGAACTTAATTAAAAAGTTTACGCTTTGGCATTAAATATTCAGAAGACTATATTTAAAACTGTTTGTTTTATCTTCAGCGGAATTTTAATTATAACTAAATAATTTATTTAAAAAAATATGTGATATTTCGCAAAAAAATATTTTAATTTATTTTGAAATTTTTATTTGTCCCTATTTAAAGTAAAATTTTTTGTTAGTGTAATAAAAGCACTAATCAATGCCCTCTTCAACTATAAGAAGTCAGTTACTAAAGTTACTAAAACTTTAAGTTAATGTGTATTCTTCAAAAAAATTTCTTAAGAAGTAAAATAGAGAACAAAATGAATGAAAAGTCTTCAACATCATTAATTAATTAAATTAATTAACTTAGACATTGAAAATATCTTTTGAAAGTGGGCTAAGTACAACTAATAGTACATATTTTTTTCGATACACATCAAATAAGAGAAAATAAATTGCCAGTGATTTTCTTTAAAGAAAATAAGAAAAATGTGTCGGCTAACTGCACTAAAAACACAGCATAAAAGTATCTTCAATATTTAAATAATTAATTTTATTAAAATAAGTCATATGTAGACATTTTAAGAGAAATCTATTTAAATAGCACAATCGTTTAGACAAATGATTTGATACCAGTTGTAAGTAACAAACAATTTTATATAGGACCTATCAATATTTTTATGCCAGATAAGGTTTCATTCATAATACAACTTAGGCCGTGTGCGAGTTCGAGTCAATTGATGGTAAATTGAGGGAAATAGTAAATTATGTCGGTATGGCACCGAATGTTGGTATGTACCAGTATTTCGAGTGGAGTAAATTGAATAAAAATTGGGTAAATTAGGTAATCCCATTGTAAAAATTTTATATGATGTTTTTAATAAATAAATAAATTTGAAAACTTTTAAACAAAAATAATAAATAAGCGCAATAAAAAAATTAATAAATATTTACATAAGTAGAGTGCAAAAAATCCCTAGAAAATTTCAATTTACTTCAACTCAATTTACTCGAACTCGCACACGGTCTTAAATAATGAATTAAGTAAAATTACACTATCAAAGATTAAGGTGTACAAATAGTTGGATTAAAACTAACCTGTAAAGGTGGTTAATGAAAATCTTTTAATTAGATAATTTTAAGAAGTTATAAACTATATCTATTTTTATATCAGAAATCTATTTCGCATTTATCTCAGTTCAGATATAATTAAACAATTTTGTTAGTAACTTTTTAAAAATTAATTTAATAATACCTAAATACTGAAATATTGTAACAAATATTTTTAAACATAAAATGTATCGATGACATTGCACCTGCTAGAACAACTGTGAAAGGTACTGAATTCGATAAGTAACTAACACCCTTATTCTTTTAAACAAGAAGATTTAAAAGAAAAGTCGGAAAAAATTATAACTTTAACATAAATTTGCTCATATAAAATTATTATTTTAAGTAATATATATAATAGATATCAAAAAAAAAATATTATAAAATCAACAGAGTAAGTTAAATTTTAGTGGCAACTGAACTTTTCTATATATTTTGTCACTATACATCCAGATACT